GCGTCGGAGTAATCTTCAGATCCACCCACCAAATCCTGCTCTGAGAAGGATATCACCTCCCCGGGACGGAGGCGTTTAGCCTCGGACTCATCCGGCGGCCGGGGGCGCGAACTCCTGCGGAGAGCGGCAACACTCTGGACCCCCAAGGGTGCCCCAAAGATAGCACCCACAGGAGCGCTGCCGTGCCTGCGCCGGATCGATACTATCCTGGGCTTTGGCCCCGTCCCCAACGGGGGCCTGGTTGGCGGTCTTAGCCTTGTTTTTCTTCCACCTCCGGTTCTTGGGTTGGCCTGGCGCTTTCTCTTGGGACCCCTTCTGGATACAATCTTGGAATTTACCCGCCTTAAGGCCCTCCACAATCTCCTTCTTCAGCCTGTAGCAATCCTCCGTGTCATGCCCCTTGCTTCGGTGAAAATCACACCATTCGGACGAGGATTCATTCTGAGACCGGCCCGGGGTGGAAGCTTGAACTCACTCTTGTGAATTTGAAGAATCGCCTTTCAAGTTTTGGTGAGGATGGTACATTGGACTCGAACTTCGGAGATCCGATGTTGAGTTTCTTCGCCTCCGGCTTCCCTGTTTTCTTCTCGCCTTCGCCAAAAGCTTCTCTGGCCCTCTTCATGGACTCATCTGTCTGGATCTCCTTTTCGACTATTTCCCACAACCTCTAGGTAGTGCCCGGAGGCTTAGCTGTGAGCTTGCTCCTCAGGGCAGCGCCCGTACCAAAGAGAGAGGCCGTTCACGAACTCGACCCTCACCACCAAATCGTTGACCTGGTCTATCATCATGAGTTCCTTTGTGAACCTCTCGTAGTATTCCCCCAGAGACTCGTTCTGACGCTGGCGAACCGAAGACAAGTCATGGATGGTGCGCTTGGCTCTCTTGCTGGAAAAGAATCGGACGTGGAGCTTTCGTCCTAAGTCCGCATAAGAAGTAACGCTGCCCGGGGGAAGGCTATCGAACCATATCTTAGCGGCCCCTGTTAGGAAGGTGGGCATCGCTTTAGCAGAGAACTTCCGGGGTGAGTCTCGCAAATCCATGGCCGCGGTGTCATCGACCAAGAAGCTAACTGGACAGGTATTACCCCCGTACTTCGGGATGTCCGTTGGGAGTTTCAAGTTAAGCGGCCGCGGGTAACACCGTATATGCTCGGCGAAAGGACTTCCCAGCGTCTCCCTACTGTTGAGTATAGCCTCGAGCCGGGGATCTGACACACTCTCGCAGTCCACCCTCAGCTCGGGTCTTGGTGGGGTTTTAGGGTCGCGTTCTCTGGATCGATCTCGACCCCGAGAGACCCTCCTTTCCCCCATGAACATGAGGCTGTCGTCCGGACCTTCGCCTTTGCCTCCGTAATACATGTCATCGAACTTTTTGAACTGCTCTTCGAATCCATGGAATCTTTCGGCAAAGGATCTCCAGAAGCGATCATCATGTGGCCCTCGTTCAAGAGAACGGGACGCTTGGAAGGCTCTTTGCTCTTTTCTGCTTCTTTACTGGTCCGGCGGGATCGGCTCCTCTGATATTCGGCCGATTCATGGTCGCGGGCCTCCCGAGGATCGTCAGACCTCCTAGAGCGACCCTGACGGTCATTAGTTCGAGAAGCCCCTTCGGCATCCTCCTTGTCTCGGCGTTCTCCGTGGGACTGGGTGGATACGCGGGAACTTCCCCCTACCACCTTCGATCTCAATCCAGCCCTGCGACTCGTCCCATTGTCTGGCCTTGTCCGGGTGGAGACCATTACTCTCTTAGAACAACAGGATTTGCCTCGGCCAAAAGGGAATAGACCTTCCCACAGACGGCGCCACTTGTCGAGGGTAAATCCCAGGGGCGGAGAGTCAACGGTCCGACCTAGACGGGAACCTGCAAAACGGAGGTTAGCACTCCAAAGATCAAGTCAGTTCTAGGGAAAGAAGCAGGTAATTGTCACACTTAGAGAGAGAAACGGGAGTGTGGAATTGAATTAGCAATAAATGAACAAGGAGTATTTATAGGTCCCAATAGGACAATATCTGTGGGCCCCTGTGTCGAGAGGGGCAAGAGCGTAAATAGACATGCATTAATTCCTTGTGACCCGGTTAGGTCCAAAGGAATTAATAAAAGAATGACTTGGACTTATAAGATGAGCCCAAATCGGATGGCAAGTTGGGCCGGTCAAGATGGGTCAGGATTAACCCCCAACAGCATGTAATTGTCAAAGTACAGACATAAGGTTTCGTAATTATCAAGCTTTGTTGTTTTCGGCAAACGTAAGTACGTAACATAAACCTCAGAGATCCAATGGGTGAAAATAACTGTCCAAGATATGATAAAAACTATTTGTACAGGATAAGGAAATTAAAGCTCGTGTAAGCATCTAGTGGATTTTAGTGGAGGTAATTTGGACTGTTCATCTTTGTCAAATTAAGGGGTTTCACGAAAATTAGCTGGCTTTTGCCTTTTATGCTTTACAGCTCTAAGCTGCGGTGTTTTTTGTAGGATTTGATTGGACTTAATGCCCTTTCGAAGGATATCCTCTAGTGGTAGGTAAAAGGGTAACTTTACTTAATCCTGCTAATGATGAAGAATCTCGTATTTAAATTTCATTTCCATCCTCTATATTAGAAATGAGAAAATTTGGATTAAGAGAAATGAGGAGAGATATACAAATATAGTAAAAGGATTACATCGTTTACATGATTCAGATTAGAGGTAGTCAATTACTTTCTATAAATCGTAAAACAAGAATACATTTGCCAAATAATTTCCCTTCTTCTTTTATTTACCCCCACCAAAAGAAAATAGAAATAAAAGAAAAACAAATTATCTCTTCTTTCCTTTTGCTTCTCTTTCACATTTTCTCAATCTAATCCCTTTTTCCCCAGCGAGTTGAATAATGGCAGAGCTAGGAATTATTATAAAGCGAGGTAAAATATAAGAAAGTAATTTTGTAGGGCCAAAAAATAAAAATTTTAAAAATTCATAAGATAAATTATTTAATTTTTTTTTACTTCCTTATAAATATTTTTATGGAGGGGATGAGCCGTTGCCCCTACTATCCCCCTCCCTCCACACCTTGTTTGTAAAATTTCTTAAAACCCAAAAAAATTTAAATCACCTGTTAAACACAAATCACAGTACAAAATAAATACTTTCCTTATAACTTTTCAATTTACATTTTAAAATTTATTTTAAACATTAATTTTCTACATTTTCACCCACCACCTCCGCCATCGCCGGACTGCCACCCAGGCCGTCGGTGGTGAGTGGCATTTAGGTGGTGGTGGAGATTGTCCGGTTGTGAAGAATAATAAAAATTATTTTGTTTTAAAAATCATCCAATAAATTTTTCAATTCCCAATCAAAACACAATTTAAATCACAATCCGAATCTAAACAGAAAATAAAACCAAAACGTTGTCCATACATGTTTAACAATTTTAGTGAACATTTTTACATTTTGGACAGAAAAAGTATTATCCGGAATCTAATTCTCTTAAGCATGAGATATATTTCAAATAATCTGTTCAACTTATAAAGTTTGTATCTATTCTCAACCCCAAGTTTTCTCATTTTCATTTGATCAAAATAATCAAATGTTAGAATAGTAGTGTCTTATAAATCACTCTTCTCTCTCAAACCCCAACTCCAAAAAAATAATTTCTTCCCCCATATTCTCATCATGAGAGGATGGGAATTAAACTTGTTTAATCGTTTTTTGTTTTGTTCTTTATCGTTTAATAAGTAATTTATTCTTACAAATTAGTTCCTTCAATAAATTATTTAGATAATCTTTTGAGAGGGTATGATTTTTTTATTCGTAGTCTTTCTTCAGTAGATTACTCTACTGAGAGGTAGGTCCATTTTACAGTGTTCGTAGAGGCGTTGAAGATGTTTACAATATTATATATGCCCCACGAAGAATCAGTCACTGCAGATCTAATATTTAGATATGTGGTTTGGAGTTTTCAACAAAATTTTAGAGATATATTCGAGATCAGATTCATACTCTGGTACGTGATATGTCCGTCAATTATATGGGTAGATCTGTATAGATTTATCCATGGTAAACACAACAAAGTGATACATTATAAGTTGTACTCCCTCCGTCCCATAATTATTGTCCAGTTTTACTAAAATGAAAGATTTTATTTTTGGTCCAACTTAACTATATTTTACCTTAAACAACCGGATATACCCTACATAAGTAATTGTTTAACCACTAAGATTTTATGGATAATGTTTTTTACTAAGGATAAATGTGTAACTTGATCCATAAAAAGTCAAATTGGACAATAATTTTGGGACAAAATTTTTTGGGCAAAGTGGACAATAATTATGGGACGGAGGGAGTATTTGATTGTTTCTTTGTATCAATCAATCGCAGCTGGACAATTGCCAGTAAATGAATGAAAGTATTATTTTATTTCAAAAAAAAATCAAATGTTCTATTTCCTCTTCTCTATAAAAATAGTCCATATATTGTAATTTTTTAAAGAGTACAATTCATTACTTGCCAATCCAAGTATCAATAGCATTTGTGTATATCTTAATTTTACCACAAATTACCGATCAAAACCAAGCTTGCTGTGATTAATGATCATGGGTTTTAAAAAATTAATAGACCATGCTGTAATGTTGTACCCTTTATATCCATAATTAAGTTTTTGGACCCAATAATATTTTTTAAAAAAAGAAAAATTATTGTACATCGTTTTGTTTTTTATTTTTCTCAAAGTAAAATAGCAGGCTTTTTGTTGGGCTTGATTACAAGGAAGTTTAGTCCATCTTACATAAAATTATAAGCCAGGGGCCCAAGATAATCCAAACCCTTTTTCTGTTTGGACTAAAAATTACAAAACTCCAAACTAGTTGGCTCAGCCCGAAAATCCACATCCCTAATAATTTGCCTTTCGTAGGCGCCGTGGTAAATCACTCTCAGAAAAGATAACCAAAAACAGAGAAACGGTGGCCCGGTCCGGCGAAATTGAGCTGAGAATCCTTGCAGTTTGTCATCGGAAAATCATGTCGTTGGGGAGAAGTCTTCTTCGGAACAAAAGCCTCTTGAAATTGAGTGCCAAAGAAACACCGCAGGAAATCATCGTCTCATTTCATTCAAGCGGCTTGACCTGTAATCAATGGCGAAAGCTGAAGAATCTATGGGCTCCCGGTAAAACCCTTTTCCGGCCAAGTTGTGTCGGGGAGAAGAAGGATCAGTTTCTTTCTCAGTACGGTCAAAGTGGAGGTCCAACTTGCCTGGCGGTTTTTCCCAAGGAAGCAGCGAATAAGATTGAATCCATCGATGAAGATCTGCTTTTGCTGTATGGTAAATACGGTTCTACTTTGGTTGATCATATGGATATCCAAAAAGGTGCCACTTTAGCTGAATCCGAATCATCCCTCTTCGATTTTTGTTTGCCCAGTTCGTATCTTTCTTTCTTGTGTTCTCCTCCTGAGAAATTGAATGATTCGAGTCCACCCCCTGAGAGTACTTAACTGTGGTTGATTAGGTTGGGAATGAGGGAGGAATAGAATAAGCGATCTGATAGATTGTTTACTCGTTTTGTAATTGTGTTTGCTGGGGAGAAAATTGCAATGGAATTCCTGCCCTTAACCTGTTTGTGTTTTTGTTTCTTATTCCTTGAAGAAGTTTTGAGGTTGCCTCTTTTTAATCTATTGATTATGCACATTCTTCTGCATTGCTGTATTTTCATCTTGTTGTAGGCTTGATCTATGAAATTTAATGAGATAGAATGGGCTAAATTTGAATTACTATTGTTCTATTTTCTGCTGTTGAACTCTCCCCTGTCTCCTGTGTTACCAAGCAACGTTTTCCTCTTCTTTTGGAAAAGTGGAATAAGGTAATATTAACTCATCTGCAACTCGTATTTTGTAATTAGTCATCCTATTAAGTTGACACAAGGTATCATACAACCTTGCTTTCTTCGTCTAGTGCAACTCTTCGTTTGTTTCCTTCAACCCCGGCAGCACTTTTATGCCGTTACTTGTCGGTTCATGACCAGAAACCATTGAGAATTTGGTGTCAAAATTCCAAACTATTAGTCCAATGTCGCTACTGTTTGTGAAGAAGTCCATATGTAGAAATGTCTCACTCGGAATCTTCATCATAATGTTCCTTAATCAAGAGTCAGTCATTACGAACTTAGCAGTCAAATGTTCCTTATTGTGAACAAAACGATTGCTATTTATATACTATGATAAAGTCTTTCCGAATGAGAAGGAAAAGCTATAGTTGTTCACTTCTGGTAAATTCGGCAAAATGCCTAAGAATGAGCAAACTGAAGTGCAACCCCTGACCCCTAGAACTCCCACCTACGTGATCAATAAAAACAGAAACGATGGATTGCCACCGGAATTGATCCAGCCCTGCCAGCGTCGCCACCGGAAATACATCCTCTGTTGTGGTTGCACCACTGCTTTGATCTTGATGCTGTTGGTGATCTTCTTGGTGCTTTTCTTCACTGTGTTCACTGCAAGAAGTCCGGATATGATAATCGAGACTGTCAAGGTTGAAGGGTTAGATAAAGTGAATTGGACCGACATTAGGCCATTTACAAATGTAACTGTTTTGGCCAGAGTTGCAGTGAAAAATAAAAACATAGCAACTTTCAAGTTTCAGAATGCCACAACAGTACTACACTATGACGGAAACTTCATCGGGTTGGCTGAATCGCCGAGGGCAACCGCCAAGGCCGGTAAAACTCTGAGATTCAATGTGACCATGGATATTTTAATTGCCAATATCCTGAATGTTTCTAGTCTACAAGAGGATTACCTTTCTGGGATTTTGCCGGTGAATAGTTACACGAGACTTTCTGGTAAGGTGAAGATTTTCAACATTATCAAGAGGAACTTTGTGGTGAGAACCAATTGCACCTCCAGGGTTAACGTCACCAGTTACATGATAATACATCGGAGTTGTAAGAAAAAGGTAAATATGTAGGCAGGGGATTCAGGAGATTCTATGTAAAGTGAAGAAGCTTGTATTTCTCATAACCCGAGTTGTAATTTTGTAAGATCACGTACAACTTTTTCTTTTTTTTTTTTTTTGTGGATCCACTAAATTGAATAATTTCTTTTGTTCATTCTCGGCTTTTTTTGCCTTTGAGTTTACCTTCATTATGATGTCTCCATATATATATCTATCATACATTTGCATTGAAGAACATTAGAAGAGTTTTAGATAAAAGAAAGTTTGACTTTTATAAAAGATTTTTTTTTTATTTTTTGACGCAAAGCTTTAAATGAATGACCCCCCATCCTAAAATAAGAGTTAAAATATATTTGATAATATGGATTTTTTTTAGGTGGAGGGCTGGGAGTACTATTGCACATTAATTCACTATCTCTTTCATACATTAGAGTCATATTGTGAATTGTTCCGTCGTAATTTACCTAGTATTCGAACAAGTGTGCGCATTGGGACCAAATGTGGAACATCATGGGTGGTCTCATGATCATTTGATTAAGTTTAACCTTAAAATTCCAAGACCTTTATATAATTTTGATTTTGTACATTGATTTTGGACAGGAAAACCCTTTTGTCATCAAGTGATGATCATGATATTGGAACAAGCGGCTTCACAACTCACAAGTTGGAAGTACTCAATGTATCAATCGATATGGTACGCATACATAAGTCAAATTAGTGGCGAATCACGCGGTTATGAGATTAAAATGTATAAAATCCCCTTAGTCTAAGTCAGCCATCGAGACTGGCTAGACCATCAATATCAGCTCAAAATAAACTTGTGTACCATTCACATTCTACGGAAAAGTTAATTATATCATACATCCCTGAGGTTCCAAGAAAATGTAAATTGCGTCTCAATATGTATAAAAAGAAAATCCATTCTTTTAATCAACCGAACGTATCTCAAATATTTATATCATTTAGAAGTTGATATAGATAGTATATTGGACCTTCTTTTGGTATGTGAACAAGGATGCAATTTTAAGGACAGATACGCCTCATGTCGACTTACCGTTATATCGTTGAGCATAATCTTATATGGGCTATTATGAATTGGTTACGAGAATGGTCATAATAGTCACAAAAATTGAGGGTGTAAGATGCAATTTTTCAATACTAGAAGAACTTCCGGACAATTAACCCCTTCGTAAATTTATGCATATTCAACTCTAGTACTAATAGTTACCATTTTCCTTGAACTATATCCATCAAGTTGTTATCAGCTAGCTTGACATAATCCATAATCGAGATATTGGGTGCTTTGGAAAGAAGTTTTAGCTGCAATGGCTGAAAAAGAGCAAGAAAAGCCTCTGGCTCCGGCATCCCAGCACAGGGTTCTCGACATAGAGTTGGAAAAAGATGATGATCATCGGGTCTGGTCCACAGAGGAGATGAAGAAGAAGAAGAAGAAGAAAAACAGAGAAAATATCAATAGCAAGTGCATCAAATGGTGTGGATGCATTACTGCCCTTCTATTGATCTTAGCAGTCGTCGCATTGGTGCTCAAATTCACAGTGCTTCATATCAAAGATCCGGTTTTGAAGGTGAATTCAGTCACGATCCAAGGACTCAAAGTTGGAGGAGCTTTGGGTTCAAATCCTCTTCTTCCAGGGACGAACTTAACACTCATCTCAGATGTTTCAGTGAAAAATCCCAATTTCGCATCTTTCAAATTCGACAATACCACCACAAGTGTCTACTACGGTGGGAAAATCGTCGGGGAAGCACTGACTCCGGCCGGAATTGCCAAGGCTAGAAAGACGGTACGATTGAATGTAACGGTTGATGTTTTGGTGGATCAAATATGGACCGTGCCACGGTTGGGGAGTGATTTGTTGGCCGGCGTTTTGCCGGTGAGTAGCTACACGAAAATTAGTGGGAAAGTGAAGATTTTGAAGATTGTTAAGAAGGGTGTGGTTGTAAGGATGAATTGCACGATGAACATTGATATAAGGAGCCAATCAATTACAGATCAGAACTGTAAGAGACATGTTTCTTTCTAGTTATAATTTAGCTTGTGAATTTGTATTTGTATACTTATTAAAGAGGTTACATTCAATTGATTGTTTGTTTTTTGGATTAAGAGTTTTGCGCAACTTTCTGTACTTCATGTTCTTTGATTTAGATTTGCGGAAGAGGATGAAAAAGCGACTATCATATTTTATTTTTTTTTCTTTTTTTCTATATCAATTGGAATGTAACAAAACCAACAACCACTTATTCCCATCTTTTTAGACAGAGCAAGTGATCATTAAGCCGGTATAGGGCGTCGATTGTTCGTTCAAAACCAGCAAAATTAGGTTCATCTAATTGGAATTAGATAAGAGAATATGATCGAAGTTAACTTAATCTGGTCTAGAATCTCGTGTTGAAAATTGATCATTATTTGAGACAGAATAAAAAAACGTTATGAAGAAAGAAATGGATACTTCCATTCATAGATGCCAAACATTTTGGAAATTATTAGTCGTTAGTCAATTGCCGTACCTCTCGTGGAAGTGTGGAATCGTAGCGGACTTTTTGCTGATTCATTGACTTTTACCTAAAATGTCATCACTCATCAGTATAATAATTCTTATAATTATATTACTTATTTAATAACCTTTCCTACCTAGAAAAATTGTTCATGTTGGATTTTCTAATTTGTACCAAATAATATAAATTACAATATTCAATATATTGACTATTTTCTTAGAATAGCAAGAGCATTTAAAAAAAGTTTGACCAATTATAACTCTAATGTGAAAGTAGAGTAGTGACAGAAACGAATAAGTGAGATAGTCAACGATGAAAATACAATTTTTACATATTGCCATTTCTTAAAATTGACAGCATAATAAGGGATAATATCATCATTGATCATCTTATTTCACCAAATTTTCTAAAAAAATATGTATGAGTCAACATAATGAGAGTGAATCACAAAACATGTCATTGAACTATTGGAATAATTTCAACATAGGTCATCAATCAAATTTATTATCAAAATATGTACATATTCTAAACAAAAAAATTCTATCCGAGGTCATTCTATTAATTTTGGATATTAAATCATGACAGAAAGTTATTTCTCACGTGCAAAACATGTGAGTAGGGTCTTGGGGGTATTTTCTTTATTTTTTTGTATTTCTTTAAAGAATAATTTTAATTTTTTTTTCTACAATTCTTCTTTTTATACTTCTTGACTTATATAAATTGGTACTGAATTTCAGAAATTAATTTACCTTTTATATTTCAATTCTTAGATTATTAAAAATTTTGAAAACAAAAATTTTAAAAATGAAGAAGAAAAATTCGAGTTGAAGTAAACATAAAAATTAATAGTTTACCATTTTAAACAAAAATTAAAGAGAAAAAAAAAAACTAACGAATCACCTAAGAAAAGTCGTTTCTCCTTGACTCCCGTCTAGGTTAGTTACGAAATACAGATTTTACCATAGCATTTCACATTTTTAGTACTATTTTCTTTACTCTATTCTTCTTCTTTTTTTTTTATCAAAAATGTAAATTTCCATATATCACTTTTGCATAATACTGTCATGTACATCCAAAATTTTAACACCGTCCATTCTGCCTTTTCCATAACTTCCTATTACATCACTTCCATCTGGAATCTAGTTAAACAATTGTTCTATAAAAATTCTTTCATTTACAATGATTCTATTTGCATAACAGTGACTAATTATAATTCTTTCTTCATCTTTGATCAGCACCACCAATTGTTCTGTCTTTTTTCCTTCGAAGATTATGCAATTTCGTACCTCCCAAGTACATTGGCCGTGATAGCTGCAAAAAGGATTACCCTTTTAGTTTGCTTCCCTTCCATATATTCTTTACTTACTTCCTTCATCTATTATCTCTGTCATTCAGGTTCTTGATCTCCAGCCACATGTTTATTCTTCTGATCATCTCTGTAGAATAGTTGCAGGCAAAAAAACAGGTGTTGCAGTGTTTCATCTTACTAGTTGCAGAGGCAGCAGATAGGATCATCCACTCTAATATTAACATTGAGCCATTCTTTCCTTTGTCCACAATCTTCCCTTCCCGTATAATCATGCCATAAAAGAATATTTTGGTACATTCATTCTAGATCATATGCACTTAATTTGCTTCTTGCACTTTTTCTCCCCTTCCAATCATCAAGTAATATCCTTCAGTTATTGTACATATACATGTTCTATTTTGCTTCCATCTAGTGCCCTTAAAACTCTCTTTTGCTTGATCTCTGATTCTCAATAATTGTTTCTAGTGCCAACTACTATTATCCTTAGGCTAAACCTCCCATGTGCTTTCCTCTTTTAGGTATAATTTATGAGTCCATTTGGCCCATAAATTGCCCTTTTTAAGGGCCAACCACCATATCTGTTTTAGGCTGTATTTTATAACCCAAATAAGTACTGAAACTTAATGGATTAAGTACTTTTCTAATTTTTATTGTTTGATGATAGAAATTTTAAAATCTTATCTAATTCAGTGTCACTTAATTCCACGTTCAATTCCTTCCCTAAAATTAAGTGATTTGATTATTACTTAACACTTTTCTCTAAACACACTCAAACGTTAGGATTTTTAGTAGATTTTTTTTATGACTGTCGTATCCTTGATTATCACGTCTTTTTTCTGCCTCTCTCTCCATCTCCTTATTAAAATTTTCTGATCACCTCTAAAGATCTCCCGTATCAAATCTAAACAATCTCCAATAAAAAATGATTCTTCCGATATAATCGTTCCATAATATTCTTATAAATTAGGTCACTAGCTATTTTGGGGAAAAAAATTTAAAAAACGAAAGAAACTATCTGCCAAAAGGTATCTTTCGGCTTTGTTTAGTTTGATTTCTAATTTTATGTTTTCTACAGAGATGTTTCGGAGTATGGGGTTACTAACGATTTGATTATGCTTTTCTTTACCCCTTGTTATTTGTTTGTCCTTTGATTAAGCTTTATTTTTGTATCTTTTTGGTTCTAGATGTTGTGAGTTGAGTGCTAGCAGGAGTGGAACAACGGCACTACAATTTGCATTGCCTTCGTATTTGTGACGTTTTGATTATCTGCTATCTGAAGAAGTTGAGCCCATCAAAAGGACGGAGAGAAAGCTAATTGCGGCGTTCTGATCATCTGATATCCGAAAAAGTTGATCCCATCAAATGTAAAGTTCTCTTTTAACTCAATTCATTAGTTTCATTAAGAATTTGATTGTTGTAGCAATTTAAGTTAAGTGAGTGGCTTCATCCGTTGTTTTTTTTTCTTCTTCTATGTGGATTGAGTTTATTTGGAATTTCACCGTCTCCGAGCTCTGCCACTTGGTATGTTTTACCAAATTATTCTCTCTGCCAAAGTCTTCACCATCATTAATTTAATCTTGTTGAACGGATTCAATTCATCGCTGCTAAATTTTGAGAGATTGTATGTGCTGCAGTAGATTTCTATTTTTCTAACAATAAGAGTTTTTGAGAGCATTAGTTTATTGGTATAAACCTTATTATTTTCAGTGTATCTTCTTTGTGCTAGTGGAGCTAAATTACGTATCCTTGTTCAGGAGTGAAAATTTAGTTTTTGAATTGATACAAGTGCAGCCTCTGTTGCTGTTGTTGTTGTGACAGTTTGGATGGAGGAATAGTTTTCTCCTCGTTGCGATTATAATAGTTTTGGATCGAGTAATTTCTTCTTTTTTTAAAAAAAAAAATTGACTCCACTAAACTGGTCATCAAAAGACTCTTTCAAATGCATCATTCTTTGTATATGCAATGCATTTATTTCCAAAAACTGGGGTTTGAGGTTTCTGATTTTAATGCATTAAACACTTCTTTTCTCTTTTGTTTCAAACCGATTTTGAATATATAAAAACTGTTTGTGTTGTGTTGTTTGCAGTTAGATTTTGTCATTTGCTGCTTTGCATGTACCCAATGTGATGTTAATCTGTTTGGGCTGCATCCTATAGCGATGCCTCGATAATGCAGGTTTCTAATTTTTTCTTAAAGTTCGACATCAACCACTCATGTACCAGAGCTTGAGTACAACAAAGATTAGTTTCTAAAGCTGCCTTTTGGTATACTGTATTAAAAAAACACGCAATCGCGCACTTTCATTTTTTTTTTATTCTAGGCAGATGAAGAGCCCAAAGCATTCTAAAAGCCTAATAATTTATAGTAGCTATCAAAGGCAATAATACAATTCCGAATATTTGAGCCCTTTCGTCCTTCTTTCTCCACTTTGAGTAATGCCTCCTCAATCCTTCTTCAAACCATACTACTACTACGAATGAAATTCACACCATCATCATCCATATTCAAGGTTGATTTCTCATTTTTCTTCGAGAAATCAAGTTATTTTTTTTAAAAAAATGTCCCAAATAACCTCCCCTTTTGCTTTCCATTTTAGTTGATTTTGTTGCGTCTTCGTAATACTCAAAAGCTGGTATCTATACATTTTTCGACGTCGATAATTTGGTTGTCATAATCTGTTAGCATTCTTGCTCAACTTTACCAACATAATCTAGTACTTTCCTTTGTCATTTGCCATTTGCAACTTAAATTTCTCTCATGTTATATCTTTTAGATAGGTTGTCTTGGGTTGATATAATAATTTGGCTATAGTAGATGTAAATTTTCACTTCTGCAAAATGCAATATGTTCTTGGTGTCTTTTTTTCTTTTCAATTTAACTAAACTGATTTCTTACTACCATGGACAAGACTGCTATGCTTACATTTCTGTTTGAATCAAAGTACTTGCAGCTTAGTGGGGTTTCCATTTTTTATTCTCAAGCACACCTATATTGTTCAATGTAAATATAAATAATACATAATGAAATATATCCAACAAGATGAAACCAGAAGAAACGACCGCGAGAGTCACTTGGAAAGACCAAAAATTATTTAAAAGCTACATAGAATTGTGTTTAGATGAAGTGAATGCTAGGCGGATTTCTGGAGGAAGTTTAAAGAAAGAATCTTGGGAGAGTATGAGAAGGACATTGAAGATGGAACTAGGTATTAACCTAACGCAAAAGCAACTAAAAAATGAGTAGGAGTTTCTGAAGAGGAAAACTCAAGTATGGAATAAACTAATAGGAATTACTCATTATGATGAAGTAACAAACACTATAAATTGGAGTCCAGAACAATGGGACGAG